CACCTCCGCATTTATACGTCACACAAGTTGTGAAAGACAAAAAAGACACCTCAGGCCCTTAAAGAATGAAATACAAAAAACATGTTGTTTACATGCCGAGATTGAAGTTATGCTAATACTTTTGACAACACTGAACATCTCACGCAGGTTAAGAATCAGGATCCGTGAGATGGAATAAAATTCCCTAAGTGCACGTCTGAGCCTTAATATTGTCGAATATGAATTGCTCCTCAAGCCAAAGTAATTACTTGCATCAAAGATTGCTCCGCTACGGCCATCAAACCGATGATGAAAATTGCATGTTCATGATGATCACCAGAGGCAGAGGTGCTTATTAATTGCATTGCCTCTGCGACTTTCAGTTGTGTTTATTTACACACTTTATATGAAAAGAAACCTTCCCACAGCTCCTTTGATATACTTATTTTCTGTAATTCAATGCCGTAAAAGTGGATGTTGTGTAAAAGGAAATGTTGCAGTTTGGAACCATGCATAGGAGATGCCATGCAATATGTTAATGTTTAGTGTTTCATTTCATTGTAACAGTTCCTGTAGTCACAATAAGCACAGTGTGTAAACAGTATGCAAAAATGACAAGGAGTATTGTTTGCATTGGGACGCATGTATACTCAAAAAAATGCATTGGTTGCATAAATGTGGATTTACTGTGAGCATATAATATCTGAGTCTCAGCAGTCACGTTGAATGAAGAGACCTGTGCAATATATGACATGCTCACACATAAAGATAATGACTTTATGTTAAAACTCAAAAGGTTCCATTAACATCAGTTTATGTTAGAAATAGAGAGATGAGATTCCACAAAGCTAAACCTTTTTTTTATTTCTCTCCCTGTCAACTTCCACATTGTGCTCTCCTTTATCATAGTGTCTCTATATGTCAGGATAAATTATGCATGCAGAGCTACCAACAAAGCCCAGCCAGGCACATAATTAAAAAAAAAAAAAAAGATTTGTCTCAGCATTTCTTCCGACTGTGGAACAACAAAAACACGTCCTAAATATACAACGTCAAGCATAATTGGATGGGATCAAAAACACGGTGCTCATCATATAGGAAACCATCCAGGATGGCAGATTTGCTGTTCAAAGAGATGGCGAATCCTCACACCTCTGTTCCCTCTGAACGCTGCAATCTGACAAAAGGCGAAAAAAGCTAAACATATATATTTCATATTCCTTCAAATAAAATATGATTTGTTCAAAGTGAGAGCCATCAAAACACACTGAGGGTCAATACCACAAACACTGCTTAACAAATGTCGAGAAGAGAAGCTTGGACCATGTCAACATGTCAACAGAAAAAAAAAGTGATCTCATTAATGCAACCAGTATAAGATGTAATGAATTAAAACATTCTTAGGATTTATGTGTTCAATGTGTTAAGTAGAAACAGAAAGACATACTTCTCTGAGAAATAGTCTGACGCATAATCTCTGTAAAAAAAAATCTTTACACTTTGTATGGATTAAACAAAGTTATAACATGTAAGTTTTTATTTTGCTGTACAGAGCCAGGCTAACTGTTTCCACCAGTTTACAGTCTTGCTACACTAAGCTAACCAGCTGCTGGCACCAGCTACATATTTACCACACAGACATGAGCGCAGTATCAAGCTTCTCATCTTGGCAAAAAGCAATTAAGTAGTATTTCCCAACAAGTTGGACTATTCCTGTAATCTTCCCCTTCGTTTAACTACTCATCATTTCCTGACACTGTCAGTTATAATGAACAGGAACTGACTCTATATCTCTCTCTGACAAATACAAACCACAATGGCGTGTTCAGCCAACCCCTGAACATGTTGATGGTGTTATTTCTTGGCAAACGTCTCAGTCTGGGCGATAACACTTGTAAGTGTTCGTGCATTGCTACTGAGGCGTTCATTTTTGCAGGGCAAGCTTTCCAATTAAGCCCAACAAGTACAGTCTCTCTCTCTGAACATGAAGCAGAAGAGGCAAACCCCAGCTTCCACGTGGGAATGTATCTGTCTGTGCAGTAATGAAATGAGTGGGGCCTGTTTTCCCAGCAGCACTTGAACAAGACGATCAACTTAGTAAGCTAATGCATAAAGATGATGATACTGCTGAGATGCTTCTGCTTAATTGGGCTTTGAGATGTCATACACTCAAAGAGCTTTCAGGCACAATCTACTTAAGCCCAAATCATCTGATTATTTCAGGGTATCTCTTCTTCTTGAATGTTTAAAAAGTATTTTAAGTGGAATAAGTTCAAAAATAATAAAGTTTTTAACCATCTTTTTTACCTAATTTGTTCGGACCACATAACTTTGTAAATGTAAATGATTATAATTGAAATACAGCTGTATTTACAAACATTGCTGATGTGAATGAACTCTGGGCCTGTATTAATAAAACTTCTAAGAATTACACTAAAGAATGCTGTAGAGACAACATAACTTAAAAAGAGTAAAACGTTTTACAGTATTTTTACCCTTGAGAAGTAGCTTTTAACTGATGAATCCCATGTATGTTCAGAGCTGTAATAGCTAATGAAAGATATGTTGCATTGTTCACGCTTTCTTTACAGAAATATTTTTACAAAACATTTTACTCAGTGCTTTGTTTTTCTGCAAAATCATATTTAATTTTAAATCATATCCTTTATATTTCTAATAATAATATACATAGGAAATGAAAAACAATGACGTTCTTATTTTATAAAGAATAGGATATTGACTGAAATGGAAATAAAAAGAAGGAAATTCTACTGCTTGCAGCTTTAATTTGTGTTGTTTGCACCCCTGATAAATGCAAGAAAGGGGTGAAGGAAGAAAGTGGTGCAACATCTTATAAAATGTTCAAATCAAAAGCAAATAACAGCCTAGAACGATCCTACCTTGAATTGCTTCTGCTAGTGGGCTCATCATATTGTGTATAATCTCTCAAAAACATGCCTCAGACGTTGTGTGCTCACCTCTGTTTCTGTACTGCAGCCATCTAGGATCTGCTCTCAACCAAGACCTCTGGAGCGCTCTTAAATTTCAAAGCAGTTTGGAGTCTTTTCTGTGAAGAATTTTTACTTTTATGTTTCACTGAAATCCAGAAAACATTGCTGACTTCAGTATGGTTTTTGTCTAGTGTTAATCAGTGCATTAAAAGGTTTGTTAACCAACAGGTGTAATTTTTTACTTTTTGCTGGTTTTCAATACACCTGGATTATGAATTGTGGCTTTAAGGCTCACTCGAGCTGAGAACAGCAACTAGGAGAAGTGTCTCTTTCTCTGTGGCCTACACTCTATTAGATTTAATATAATCTAAATGAAAGAGTTACAGTTTTCTTTCTGCATCCTGTGAGTTAAACTTTTTGAGAGTCAGTGGCTTTCAATCATCAGCCTATATTGCAGCCTGAATTGGAAAAGTGGGCAGTATTACAGCCGTCTGAACACTGGGCAGAACTTAAATTGGCTCTCTCTCCCAAATGCGGACACAATGAATTTCACATGGGAGCTCTAAGAACAAAGTGCTCTCAATAACACTGTACTTCTCTCTAACCCACTCACACACATTAACACACACACACACACACACACACACACACACACACATACACCTTCTCTGTAACCCACTTACACACACATGTTTGTTCCTCTATCTCTGTGGGGACATGTGTTCATTGACATAATGCATTCCCTAAACCCTTACCCTAGCCTTAACCTGATTGTAACCTGAACCCTAAAACTAAGTCTCTACCCAATTTTTGTCCCCACAGTGACTCGAGTTCACATTGGTTGGTGTGCATTCAGGTTAAAGTCCTCACACCACACACACCATCTGTCTAATCCACTCACACACACACACACACACACAATACCTATGTATATACCTCTGTCAAGCATTTTTCTTCCTTTACGTACCACACACTAAATAGCTCATACAAAATGCTGTAAACATCATCCACATACATTATACAAATACAAAATGACAAGAATCTGTACACCGTTTACACAGTTCAACCACATTTGTGCCCATTACAATGTGAAGTCCTTTGAACAATGTCTTCAGCCTCCTTTGAGTCTACGCTAGTTTGAGTTTTACGCTCCATCAGCTCCACCCGGCCTACTCCATTGCAAGGGCGACCCTGTCAGTCTTGACGGAGATCCACAAGTCTTCTGTATTGGCCGAAACCTTTTTCTTCTTTGTTTCTGACCTTGCGGTTGCCATGGTGTCTCCGCAGCAGCAGCAGCAACAGCAGCTGTTGGCATGGCGACAGCAGCAGCAGTGGCAGCACGCCACCAACGTAGTGAGGAGGACCAGCAGGGGAAGCGTCAGGAGGACCACCAGGCAGACTGTGTTGTAGGCCCCCTGGTTGTGTTTTTCAGTAGCAAAGCTCCAAAGTTGGTTGAAAAAATCCTGGATGCTTTCTGTTTTCCCATCCATGGCTTCTGGATACGGAGCTGTGGCTCCTTATAATTGAGTCTGTTTGGCAGTTGTAAAGTTTTAATAAATCCTTTAGAGGGCTGTGAAGATTTCAAGTCAGTAAATGTGCATAACAGGCTGCTATAGACACCAAAACAATTAAGATATGGTGTTGATTTGAGATTTGAGAAAGTCCTTTTTTCCCGTAATCCGGTTCCCAGCTTTACCCTCAAATTGACTCTGAACTGTTTTCTATTTGATAATGATCAAAGTTTAGATCTTTGCCGTGAAACACAGCACTATCTACCTGTGATGCTTGTGTATGTGCTCAGGCTTGAGTGGTTTATTTTAAACAGAAACACAGGAAGCACAGAGGGTGACTTCATCTGTGGCTCGTTCCTTAAAGTGTCCTATGAGGTGATTACAAAACCAAAGCATTTTTTTAAAACAAGACCAAAAGTTCATGTGTTTTGTTTGAAATCGCCCCCATTTGTGATGATTCTGATCTTGATGCAGGCCGCACTTCAGACAAGTTTGTTCGTGCTGCTTGGCAACACTTTTCTTGCTTGTTATCTTCAGAAGTCTTCTCTTGCCCTCTTGCCCTTTGGTTTTTGGTTTCGTTTAATCCCCTTGTAGAGAAGTGGTTTGATTTGGGTAGGTCTGTGAAACAAAAACAAAAAGAGAAAGTGAACATGGAGAGAAATTTGGTTTCCAGCAGACAGCTCGTCTTCTTCCTCCCTCTATCCCTTCCCTGCCTCCAATCCATCTTTCTGTCGCTGTCTTTAACGTCTCTACTCCTGCTCTCCCCCTCTTGTCTGTGTCAGCTTTGGATTTTCAGCTTTCTTCTCATTAATACTGCAGAGGAGTCATTCAGGATTCAGGGCAGATCTCCTTTAAGAGTCCCACTGAGGAAAAGAGGGGCAAAGGGAGAGAAAGAAAGAGAGGACGAAACGAAGGGAGATTGTGTCTGAGGAAAGGCCAGACAGAGATAGAGGTAACCAATCTTTCTAAGAGTCCCGCTGAGACCGAGAGTGTGACAGAGCTTCATGAAAAACAAAAGAGAGAGAAGGGAAAGAGGTAGGCTAGACAGACCTGCTGCAGGAGATTCATCTTAATGTACTCAGCTAATGGTTCCCATTGGAGGAGATAGATGGGATCTGGCTTACATTTTCATAAATGTCTGATTCTAACTATTTCCTCTGGCCTCGGATGAAATTTCCTCCTAACAGCTCTCCCGGAGAAGCAAACACAAGGTGAGGTACTTCAATTAATGAAGTAGGTCTGCAAAAGAAACGCAAGCCTTAAAAATAAAAGGGTTCCCTTTCTCTCTGAGAATATAGACAGTTTGGTTAAGTATGAGGCCTTGAGCTACGTCTTCATTTAAATGATGTTAAACAACTATAGTTTTTCAAATGATTTCAAACACTATTTAACTCAAGTGTATCCTTTCGATTCTCCATAGCTCACGGCTACAGAGATTCTTTGTATTTTAGATGCAGGAGGGAGAAGAGATTTTCATCTCACATTTGGCTGCATCTTAGGCAGAGAGGGGGGGGACACACCTGCAAGGGGAGAGCAAATAGATTTGGCATGGCTGCCGCAGTGCGTTGCGCCTCATGTGTGAAATTGGTTTACCCGCAGACAGCCTGCTAACTTCCCTCCTGTTCATTTGCTCAACAGGAAGCTGAGCGCTCAAAGCTAAGTAGCAAGAGTCACCTGGAACTCCAAAGTGAGAGTTTAGAAAGAGCTGTCTCCTCTCTATAAAACAAAACTGATGTAAAACAAATCACCACATTTGAGGCTGCGCATGTTGCAGTTTGGTTACATATTAGTACTTTTGTATGTAATTCTTATTTTAAAAACGTTGCAGGTGTGCGTTTAGGCCAAGCAGGGCCTCATCGACCTTAAAAATACATTGATTTACATTGTAAATACATTGTTTGTTTTGGATTTTAGGTGCAAGCTAGCCATTTAATCTCTTTGAATCCTTACATCCAACAGTTTACTCTTGGTTCTCAACCAGGGAGTCAAGACCCCTTACAAGTGGCCGCAAGATAAACCTGAAAAGGTCATCAGATGAATAAGAGGAAGTAGAAAAAAACATGTTTCTCCTACACAAAATTCTGTAAACGTTTTACAGAAGGGGGGGGGTTCTTGTTCAGTGAGGTGCCTGCGTGGAGCCCACAGACAGTACCCACCCCAGCCACAGCCTGTTCACCCTGCTGCTATGTGGTAAAAGTTCCCCTGTCGTCTCACCAGACTTCAGAGCAGCTTCTTCCCCATGGCTGTGACTGACCGACTCCTTAATTCATCCTCAGTACTCGATCATGAAAAATATTATTATTATTATTTTCACCATTTGCTGCATATCATTTTGTTTAGAATATATTTTTATGTTTTCATGAGTAGCATAAAGGGAACTAGAACCTTGAAACCTTGTAAAATATACTATATTGTGCAAAGGCAATCAAACGTGCAACTTTAGAATGTCACTATCAGTTAAACTTAACAAAAAAACAGTTTTCTAAAAATCCTTCTAGATATTTTTTTTTCCTTTCAGAGGTGTTCTGGAGCTATGCAGCTGTGAGAATCTCCTCCGTTTCATTTGTCCATTGCATTGTGGGAGAACAGCACACTTGACATTTTTTTGCTGCTTTAAGTATACTTTATTTACTTCAGTGCAAACACAATTAGCATGTAAATATGGAATTGGGCCCCGCGACCCTGTAGGATAAGTGTTTGACGATGGATGGATGGATGGATATGGAATTGGGTTCACAGTTACTCTTTGGTAGACAATCAGTAGACATTTGTGATCAGTGATGAGGGTTTTGCAAGTAATCTCTTCATTTGAAGGGGTCATCAGCCAAAAGGTGGGAACCACTGTCATCCGAATCCTTATCAGTAGTGGATGGAAACATAAATGAATTCACATTTTCTTTCGCTAATTTCCTGGAAATTATGTTCATAATTTGCGTCACATTTGGATGGAAACTTGATTGTAAACGATACCGTGGGCCGTGCATATTGTTCGGAGCCACAATGTCACTGCCACATTATTCTTGATTATTTCCTGTAGGTACACGTTGTTGTGATGAGCTCGGCTGAGCAGCAAGCACCTATGTGCACACTCTGACCCCCCTCACATTATGGTAACTGTCAGACACGACAAGCCAGAGTCACCAAACAATAAGTCTGTAGGAGTGGGACAAAGGCCAGGGGCACACAGATGTGTGATCTAGCTATATGAAAGAGATGACTAACAATGAGGGAAAGTCATTAAATGTAATTCATAAGTCAGTCGAGTGTTTTAGTTTTTGTCTCTGGCAACGATGAGTGAGAGATCTCGGTAACTTATGGGTAAACTATTTTTAGTGTCATCGACACTGAAATCCTCGACACGTTATGATCTTGTTTTGTCTTTTCTTTGTGCTCATATACAAAGACAAGCCAAATATTTATTGTATTAAAGTAGTTCCTCACTTGTTTTTTTATGTTTAAACTTTTCTTAAGGTAAACACTTTTATTGCCAGTATTACTTTGCCAAAAGTCTCTTTCTCTGCAGGCCATTTTGAGCATCGAGAGTAACTGAGGGTGTTCACGCTGTAAATGTTGATGACGCATGTCGGAACTGAGGTTAGTTTCTGATTAAGCAAAGGTGCACAACAGAAGAGGTCATTTAATAAGAGCCATGTTTAGACAAGAGATGTATTCTGAACACATCTTAAATGAGGCCACAATCTTGAATATTTCTCTGGTTCGTATCATCTCACTGAGATGCCATTCTAAGACTCTGACCGGGTGCTTCACTTTCTCATGACTTTGTGCTCTCCTGGATCCATTCATATACAGGAAAAGGCCATTTCTGGGGCACACAAAGCCAGGAAGGGGCTGAGAAAAAAATGTTATGATTGCACTCACTTAGCCCCTGCTGCTTTTAAAGGAGCATGTGCGACCTACAAGACAAAGTTGTGACAGAAGGCAAGGCAGGAATCTTTAATGACTAGCCCTAAGCACACAGTCAGACCAGAGCCCTCATCAGGCAGTATTAATGCAGTGCTTGGACACGTTCAGTTTGACTTCAGTCAGCCACCAACAAATGATTAAAGCTGTGCTACTTATGTTTTATTTCACCAAGCTATCTTGGATGACTAAGTTCTGTTCAGCTGTTTCTCTTGGGTAGCTGCAGGCCTGCTGATAGTCTGGAGGAGTACAGTTTTCCTCATCAAGCAAAAACAAGTGCACAAGCCCAAGTCAGTTCACAAAATGTGAAATGAGCTTACAGGAAAGTCTTCAGATGAAACCAAAACCATCAGCAGTAAATATTTGCGCCAAATATGTTTTCTACAAAGATGCCCTGAACAGAGTCACGGGAACTTATTCTATATGGTTGATAAATACAAAGGTTACAGGCCTGACTAGTGACAAAGTTAGACTTTTTCTTTCCGTAAACTGACATTTTCAATCAAATGGTTATTTTAAAAAGTCATGAAAATAACAAGAAGAGCGTGTTATTGTGACGCTCCACAGCACTCAAAGGCAGGAAGAAACTTATCAGCTTATCGTTGTAACTTGTCAAACATCCTGTCAAATCTAACCACTGCCAAACCTTTTTTTTTTTCAAAAGGTGCTTGCCACAGTTACAGCAATTTGGCTTCTGTTTTCCCACTGTCACACAACAAAAACATCTTACATAAACCACTCAGAACAGTTTCAACATTTCAGTTTCAAGTTGCTGGCACTCAAGGTCTCTTTGAAAGCAACACCTTACCCCGCAGGCGCTTGTGAAGTGGCAGGTCAGCTCTCCTCTCCTGTCTAATCCAGTCAGCTGCTCAAACTTCTGTTTCTGTTTTGGCATCTGGCTTCTGCTCTGTTCTGGTCCCCCTCACCCAGACATCTTGACATGTCTTCACTTTCTGTTCCTGTTTCCCTCTCTACCCTTGTTTCCCGTCCTCCTCCTCCTCCTCTCTCTCTCTCTCTGAGTGAGCGTGTATTTTGGTCACAACGTCACTGCACCCTGCCCACTTTGTGTAAGAATGGGCCCTCTGTCTGAGCTTATGTGTTTCCTGCATGGCGAACATCTTGTGGTTGCTTTACTTTACTCACACAAGCACTGAATGATGTCAGACAGAGAGGGGAACCTAGGCAAACTGAATATGAAATGAAATCACAAGAAGCCTTTATTAAATGTGCCTCAAAACAAATTCCCCATGTTAGGATATTAAAAGAAAGGCTCCCACACACACACAGATCTGAAAACATTGCACCACCGGGCTTTAGTTGCAGGCGAGGTTTGCAGCATTTTGCATAATAACACTAAATTACTCAAACAAAAACCACTCCACCCATCTCAGAGTCCCAAAATGGGAATAAAAAGGGGAAATGAAAGCTGTAAAAGTGTTTGTGTGTTGTGAGTATCACCAGGTGTAAGAGTCCGTTGTGAGTGAGATGTGAAAGAGTGAGGTCATGTGAAGTGCGTGTACACACGCACGCACACACAAAACACTAACTATGCCTTTGGCGTTGTGGTCTATGGTCTTTTAGTTCAGTCGAGCAAAAGAGGAAGAAAGAAGACAAAAAGTGTTCTGCTGGCATTAAATAAAAGCCTATTTACTCTCCACTCGTCAAAAGGAGGCAGTTGTAAGTTAATGTGCATTGACTCGAATACTGTATGTACTCACAAACAGTATGATGTGTGCTTGTGACCAACCTACAGTACAGTAGGCCTAATGCGTGAACTCACTAAGTTATGTGGGTCAGGTCACATAACAACTTTTCATTTCCTTTAATAAATGTTTAATTTTAGTGAAACCAGTTTTCTCTGCTGTTTCTTTTAACAGTGTTCTGTAACACTGCTCTGTTCTGCAGTTACTGTGGATGGAAACATTTCCTCCGATAATCTTAACAAAAAACCCCACTACATTACCATCTGAATGGCTGAGCATGCAGGGTGTTATTCTTTTTGTTTTGTTTTCTGTAGCTACGGGGCATGGTTACATGAAAATTGATGAGACAAGCCTCAGCATGTCTGCAGGTGTGTCAGAGCCAACTTAGACAAATAGCAAACACCTACCCCCCCATACACACACACACAAACACACACACAGGGTGCTGTCTGACCGGCAGGGCGTGTAGTGCTCCTACACAGTGAAGCTATATCACAGCAGCTGTTGGGGCACTACAGTGTCCAGTCACCTCGAGCAAGTGTTGATTAATGACCTGAATGTAGCAGCACTTTCCTTGATGGAAATCCTTCTTTACAGCAGTTCATTTGAAAATAATTTTGCTATATATTTAATTTGCTTTTGATACTTCTACTGCAGACGGATCTGCATGTGGACGTCACCTTTTCATTGCGTAGATCTGCTTTATGTACAGATACACTTTTAAACCTGCTGCTGTCATTTGGGAAATCTTAGATCTGCTTTTCAGCTATGAGAGGACACGAGGAATGACCATTTCTGTTGGATCTTATGCAACGATGCACCTTTCCAGGTCTGCCGTAATTCAAAAACACATGGCAACAGTGTTTTTTCCCATTTCCATGACGGAGACCTTATTTTGTTCTTATATCATAAGGTCCCTATTATACCTCCCCTTCCTCTGAGGATACCTTATGGTCCAACTTACACTGCAGTGACCCTTCTGTGTGACCCATTTCCTCCACTGGAAACCTTACTCTCAGTTTATACTTTGGCAACCCAGTACTGTAATGGGTGTAGCTCCCATCTGGTTTATGGAAACCTTATTCTCAGCCGAGCTCACCTATGACGGAAAGCTCAAACATTATATCCCCTTATCCGGCTTGGGTCTGTAGCCGAACAAATTGCAGGAAAGACCACTGAGTGCACACCGGATCACTGATCATGCCATCATGACAGCAAAAAAGTGACTTTGACATTACCAGTAGTATTAAGGAAAGCCTTTGTTGAATAACTGGACTGTGCAAAAGGGAGTTACAAATCATTACGACCTACTGGTTCTGCCAACGCACATTGCAGCATGAGTGAGTGTGAACCAGACACTGTGCGCTCTATGAGTTTTCGAATGTGAGCACTAATGAAAAGTGACTAAAGGGTCGCTGTAGTGGAATCTGACAAGTGTCCAAAAATAGTCTGCTAATAAAACCAGTCACCCCAGAGGCAAACCTTAGCAGTGATTCAGTTCTGTGAAATGTTTGGGCCCAGCACTGGGAAAACAGGCAGGGAGCAAGACAGGGAAAGACGTGATTAGTCTATATAAGGAATTGACTCATGCTCTCAAGAAAAGCCTTCATTGAAGAGCTATTGGTTGGCATGTAAACTTAAGGCTTTTACTAGGGCACCTAATTGCACATTCCAGCTATGAGGTCAGTCTGAGCTATTTTAACATTTAATTACGTAATAATCTCAGCATAGTTATTGTATGACACAGGCTGTCTTCTGGGACTAGACGTTATGTTAAACATTCTTTCTTGGCTAGTGAAGAACAGTACTTTGGTGTATTCTGCTGCATAAATAAATAAAGTTCAACACTGTCAGCTCGCAGTGAGGGAAGTATTTTCCAAAGTGCTTAAATTTAATCAATGGGGACTTTCTAAGTTCCTCTTTGCTCTCCAGTATTTCCAAACACAGCAAAGCAAAATGAGACATCATGGGAATAAAAAGTCACTCAAGGTAGCCAAAGGCTTGGGTTGCCATGGAGATTTGAGTTCAAGGTCACTGGAAATAGACAGAGTACAAAAATATAGATGATTGATGAAAAAGATGAAAGATAGATGGTCTCTGAATTCAAACAGGACATGGAGAGTTGAGTGTTAAGGCGGATTGATGCTGCATTATAATTGCTGTGTCATTATCTTTTTTAAACAGACTGACTGCTGTTTTCTAAAAACAGATATGTCTGATAGTCTTACAAGAAAACCCAGACAACGACATGACCTTATGTGGTCATGTGTTAACAAAGAAGTACAAAAATGCACTTCCCTGTTTTGTTTTTTGTTTCAAGTGTTTAAAATGACGAGACTTGTATGCAGTGTCACAGCCGTTTGATAACAGAAATCATTCAGATTGACGCAGTTTCTTAATTTCTCATCTGCAGCTACAGGGACATTTTCACTCAGCAAGCAAGTTCAATTAGAAATGTTCACCCGCAGTGACAAAAAAATAAAACAACTTCTCTTTTAAGAGTCTGTTCAACCTCGATTTATCTCAAAATGACAGTAACTGAATATTTATCTTGCATTAATCTCTTCACTGTGTCACATTTTTTCTCGTTGTTACTTCAGTAGCCAGTCCCTCTCCCAGGTAATCACTGTTAATCAGTGTCACCTGTTGACAAAACAGACTCATGCCTAAATCTGACTACAGAAATGTATTTTTATTCACTAAGCTAAACAGAACATTTTCATTTTCACATGCCCTTGTTAGATGTTTGTTTTTTTCAGGAAAAGGTTTCCTAAGCTGCCTTTCGGAAAACATTTCTCAAACTAAACCATTTGACACTTTTACTTGCATACGACAGCTGTGATTATTTTACATCTCAATGTGGAACTTGCAATGTGCTGCTGTTTGTTCTCTTTCTTCCTCTCTCTCTCTCTCTCTCTCACACACTCTGGCTGAATCCCAATCTCCACACTCGTGGACTCACGGATTTCGAGGCGCTGTCAAATGGTCAAGCGCGTGAGGGCTTAAACACGGGGTTACCAGGAGAAGCCAGCATAAAAAAAGGTTAACAAACATGGAAGGAGCAACTAGGAAGTTCACATGTAAGTGTATGATGCTGTTTTGATAAAAACGAGTAAACTAAGTTTTGAAAATGACCTCTTGTCCTCAGGTAATCTGGTAATCCCTCTGCAGCTCCGCCCCCTTTTAAAATACCTCGTCATCACGACGGAGTCTAATCGCCTCCAAATGACTTCTCATATTCTTATTCACTGTTATCACATGCCAATAAATTATTGTTCTTCTCTCAATTAAGTCCCTCCTGATTAAAAAGAAGTTGGCAGTCTTACTCACATGCCATTACAGCAGGATTTCCATTCAGTTTAATTCAGTTCAAAGTGTGCATCGATGCATGTGTGTGGGCATTAAATCAAGACTGAAGTGCAACCTCAAATAGCAAATGTGATCTTACTTTCTCCCAAACAAACACAAGCTCCTTGCACTGTGCCTTCTGCAAAAAAAACAAACCCCTATCCAAAGTTTTGTAAAATGTAGCAGCCTGTAGGTGACGTGATAAAGTATGGATCAGACTCACTGCTAAGATCATCCCTCAGGTCACTGCAGCCCTGGGAGACACTTTCATATGTGTGTCAGCTCTCATGTCTAAACGTCTCCTGAGGACCTCTGTGTAGTTCAACTGATGCAGGGGGACATTAAGGAGTGCTGCCGGCACACTGCAAAGATCAAAGTCCATTTCCTATTTCGCCTTAAATCATAAATACAAAATGGCAAGGCAGGAAAAACAAAATGTAGACAAACTCTGATAACAGAGTCCAGAGAGGGAACAAAGCCAAGCCTTATAGCTAAACACACATGATAAAGGAGAGAGTTTGATATTATGTAAATGTGTGAACTGGAGGTACCCTGTAGGGTTCTTCTGCAGTAACCAGGGAGTACATGGAAAGCTTGTGGAGGAGCTGATATTAAAAAAATAATAATTTTGATGTGATAATATGTAAATGAAAATTAGCAACAACTAGGATTACCAATGTGTTATTGTCACAAGAACTTACCAACTATGGTAGCCTGACAGCACAAGACACACCTCAGTTTTCTACCAGACTGAGTCTTTTGTGAGTTTATTAAAACAGCATGAAGACAAGGTAGAGAAATAACAAAAGAAAGTGTTAGGTTCTTTAGGTCAAGTTTGCAATTGTGCTGTTGCAAACTTGACCTAAAGAAAAAAGAGACCAAGCCTCATCAATAATATCAGGATAACTATGTGTGGATTGACAGAGAGCAAAGTTTTCT